TTCTATCAATTAATTGACATTACAGCGTACATGGGTAACATATTGCGCCAACACTTCTACTCCTATATGTTTGAATTATATATATATATATATATATATATTATATATATATATATAGTATAATCCAAAGTGGCTAGATGTCGATATAGACATTCTGCTCACGTCAGCTTGCTCAGTGTGACGCAACGTTACTACGAATAGTGATTAAAATGTTTTTTCTCGCGCTGTTATAAGCGATAGCGATAGTTCAATAAATAGTCGCGATAGACGTTTTATATATCGTAAACATCCATATTTCACAGTGAAGAGTTAAAAAATAAATAAAAACCCCCAGGGATAAAGTGCAGTGTGATAACTGTATTCAGAGTCAGATATTAAAATAAGAAGCCTTGTTAATATCAATTTAGATTCGACCTTCATAGTACATTCAATATCACGTGCATGGCACGAGACACGATAATTCACCATACCCTACCAGCCATAACAAAAAAAAACCCAAAACACGCGTTCGCAGGCCACTGTGTCTATATATAGCTACGCTGCGTTGTGTTATAGACACACACAACAAAATATAGACTGCCATCTCCACACAAGCGGCGCGTCGCAGCGCGGCACGCGTTCACGCCCTACCGGCAAAGTATAATCATATAAAATCTTCCTGGCGCAGTCTCACTGACAACTGGCCGGGTTTCACGGCGACGGCGAAAGTCAAATGAGTTAATTTAATTAATAAAGCATTTTGGTATTTTATGTAGGCCCCTAAACATAATCCTAATAATGGCATTCATGACATCACAATTATGCAACACTTCCATCAAGACGCTGAAATACGTGATATTGAACCAATACGTGCATATTCGCTCGCCCGCAGATCACGTTGCGATTGGCTGCTTGGGACCCCCCCTCCCCAACTTTTAACACGTGGTTGCGTCCTTGTGAACTATGTGGCACTTTTGGACTAGCTTTCGTTATAGCGTACTATAGGCACACGCCAGTTCGCTCGGTTGACGCATACCATCGCGTAAAGGTAAAGGTATGCCTACGCCAGACATAGTGATCAGGAGATACTTCTAACTAAAGACAAGGATCCCGAACAACCGTCGCCAGTAATTAAACCGACTACTGTACGACTACGCAACTATACGCGACAGGACACGCTGAAGCAACGTGAAGAGGAAACACACATATAAGCGCGCTCAGTAGAACAGAGTGAGTACGAAACAACCCACGAATATTTACGTAATGTCATAAACTACCGCATGTTGTGCGTGTGAATAGAATTCTAGAAACGGCCGGGTTTCGTGACGCAGACGATTCGGTCGTAAACAAGTCTGTTTCGACACTAGGCGTCGAAGTAAGACATCAAACAGAGATCAAATTTAGAAATTTTCGAACATTCGCGATAGAATAGGTCGCTACGAGGGGATCATAGGGAGTTCATTACCTAATAGCGACTATAGCTGGAGTCCTTGATATTAGCAGTATGGAAGTAAAGACATAGAATGCAGCATTAAACGACGGTAATGTTCACCGACAGAGTCGCAGCGACTGACCCCAGCCACACTTCAGGCGTTAACGACTGACCCCCAGCCACATTTCAGGCGTTAACGACTGACCCCAGCCACACTTCAGGCGTTAACGACTGACCCCAGCTACACTTCAGGCGTTAACGACTGACCCCAGCCACACTTCAGGCGTTAACTACTGACCCCAACTACAGTGTAGGCGGTAACGACTGACCACAGCTACACTGCATGCGTTAACGACTGACCCCAGCTACACAACAGGCGTTAGTGACTGACACCAGCCACACTTTAGGCGTTAACGACTGACCCCAGCCACACTTTAGGCGTTAACGACTGGCCCCAGCCACACTTCAGGCGTTAACGACTGACCCCAGCCACACTTCAGGCGTTAACGACTGACCCCAGCCACACTTCNGGTGGTGTGTGTGTGTGTGTGTGTGTGTGTGTGTGTGTGTGTGTGTGTGTGTGTGTGTGTGTGTGTGTGTGTGTGTGTGTGTGTGTGTGTGTGTGTGTGTGCGTGTGCGTGTACATGTGTGTGTGTACGTGTGTGAGTAGCGGCGTGGTGGTGACGTCATCGCTGCATTAGCATACGATAAATAATGAATCGTTGGTCATTTGCATGTTTCGTGGATTAGGTGTCGATCAGGCGCTCGTGAACACGTGATGACTGCATCTTATTCTTTCTTTGTTTTTTTTCTCTCTCTCNAGGGCTGTAACCGCGAAACCGACCAATCATCTATTGATCGTATGATATCACTAGTAAAGTACCCTGAAGGGCGTGTAATTCTACCTGTCATGTGAATATTCTAGCATAACTGTGTCGCCGTGAAAACAGTGTTTGCATAAATCCGATCCATGTCGATATTTCACGTGAGCGTCTATTTACATAGTTGCGTAACCCACTCACGTCCTACTTATTACGGGTAGTCGTTAAGCGCTGATGCACTAGGTAATACGTGGCCGAGATATAACCACCTCGCGAAGGCCTTCCCGTGAAATCGTCTGCCGAGCAACATGGACGCGCTAGCCGTCGCACTGCTGGCGGTGCAGAAGATACTGCTGTTTTCCATCGTCATCGTTGTCGCCGCTTTTGTCTGGCACTTGCTGAGGAGACCGCGCAACCTTCCGCCCGGACCGCGCGGGTATCCACTCGTCGGGTCCAATCTCTCGTTCGGAGATCGGCCCGACAGATGGCTGATGGGCATCGCCAAGCAGTACGGCCCCGTCGTGAGCGTCTACATGGGGCCAAAGCTGACGATCGTGCTCAATGACGTCGACTCGGTGAGAGATGCCTTCCTCAAGCAGGGCGACGTGTTCTCGGAGCGGCCGTCATCTGGCCTGATTGACATAGTGTCAAAGGTCATATTAGGCTATGTGCCGCCTATTGAACACGGTGAGCCGTCACCCCGTTAATATATACTACTATATTTACTCTATTATGAACTACTATGCACCTACATACTGCTATGCTGCAATTACGTGTATTGCATATAATATATATATATATATATATATATGTATATATATATTAATTTATATAATTAAATTAAATTAAATTAATAATAATTATTAGCTCATCTGACGTAGTCCAGATGCAGCTTGTAGAATCGCATGATCGTCCGTCCGTCCGTCCGTTCCGTCCGTGGCGTCAACAGTTGGCACAAATCTTAACCGCTCGACGTACGGTCACGATATTCGGAACGTGGGGGGTAATCCGAAAACGAGTTGGGATGTCGAAGCTGGGGATCAAAGGTCAAGGTCAAGAGGTGTAAAAGAAGGCGGGAACATTTCCTCCTTAACTTAAGGTAATAGGAGGAAATGCAGAATTGCGGGCACAAATCTAAACGGCCCGACCTAGGCTCGTGATAGTCGGTGTATAGCATCATGGTAGGAAAAGCCATCACTGTGCGCGAAATTGGAGGTCAACAGGTGAAAGGTCAATGGGCACAGGGCAGAGTTTTAGAACATTTTCTGAGGACATGTTCTGACGGGGCGATTGGAAAACTTTTTTTGTTTCAGCGTGACCTAGCATTTTATGGCTTTTATTGAAAGGACCATGAAATGTACTTTCTGCTGACATGCGAAGAGTAAGTGTCGGATAACCTTTTGACCCTCAAGAGGCGGGTTAAACATGGATTTGTTTTACTGTTGAAAGATTTGACTGCCGGTTTGCTAGTAGAATCTATACATGCCTGGATGTATGAGGCTACAATGTCACAGTGAAATTTCAAAAGCTAAATTTGCTTAAAGAAGGTTTATGCTCGCTTAAATCGTATAATTTCTATGGCATTCTATACTGTCAGTGTGTTACATGTAACGTATGGCCACTGCAGTGGCCACTGCCAGTGCATGTGGTGGTGGTACTGTGAGTTTTTGCCTGCGTTAATTAGTTACAGGTGGCAGCTCTCTATTTCAACTGTAGGCTTGCGTAGGTAAATGGATGAGTGCTGTACCTATTCTGTTCTTGCAAATAGTTGTTGCTACTACGTACGATGGGAGCTTCCATCTTTAATCTGAAGACACTTAAAACATACGGCGCATCTCGTGGCAACCTTCATAACAATGCCCAAACGGAACATTCCTTTGAGAAGGTTCCTGATACCATCCATGTGCCTTCCACTGTTTCGGCGTGTATGTGACAACATTTGGGACTAACAGGGTTTACTAGAATCCCACCACTCCACACAGAGTCACCGCAGTAGACGTTAGATGAGGGCGCTGTCGCTCCGCGGCACTTGTTATAATAATAATAATAAAATATTAAATAAATATAATATAATAAATATAAAAATATTATTTAAATTTAAATTTATTTATATTAATCATAATAGAATAACAATATATATATATATATATATATATATATATATATATATATATACTTATTTATTTATCCCTGACCTCAATCATCGCCATCCTCCAACTGCTCTCTGACAGCCGGTAAGTTAAACGCAGCTCCATTAGAACCCGTTCCTACAGCGTAATAACACGCACCTGTATCTGCGAATACAGCGTCATAGGTTCCTCTGGTCTGTTATGGAAGGAGCAGCGTAAGTTTGCTCTTGGAAAACTGAGAGAATTTGGCATGGGCAAAGTCAGCCTGGAGACGAAAATCAAGGAAGAGATTTCAGTTCTCCTAATGGAGATAAAGACCAAGAGTTCCGAGCCCTTTGACATTCAGGTAAACAAGCGCGATATTAATTTTGCTACCTGCTTATAGTAGTGGTTCAAATCTACAGGTAAGTGAACATCCACAGGTCTATGTTACGGGCAATTTATATAAATCTCAACTTTGCCTGTGCGTTTTGAAGAAGGATTGTGTGGTTGGCATCATTACACGGTATAGAGCTTCGTGATTTCAAAATATATTGATTCGCCTAAGACCTTGATAATCTGTTGTTATTTTGGACATGTGCAACTTTACACTAGCTGCAAACCTGATTAATTTCCTTGTCCTTGTGGTCTCAGATCTGCTTCATGGTAATAATAATTACAACAATAACAACAACAACAACAACAACAACAGTAATGATTATAATAATAATAATAATAATAATAATAATAATAATAATAATAATAATGGCTCTCTAAAGAATGGTTTTGAGAAGAACCTTAAGGAACTCCCTGGCCAACACACTGCCCAAGAAGTGCAGAAAATCGCGC